ACTTGGTGTGACAACTGTGGAACTTGTACTTTCCAATCTTCTTTATGCTTTTGATTGGGAGTTGCCTTCCGGAATGAAAAAAGAAGACATTGACACAGATGTTTTGCCTGGACTTACAATGCATAAGAAAGAACCTTTGTGTCTTGTTCCTAGAAATTATCACTAGAAATTAAACAAGACCAAACTCCAATGTTTAAATTAGTTATCCATGTTTAATAATATGGTCGTATGGTTTTATGTCTATCATTTTTCGTTATAAACTTGTAATGGAGTAGTTGTTTCAATAAAATCTCCCTTCTAGTATGGTAGCTAATTTACTACTCCCTCCGTCCCATTTTATATAAGGTAGTTTGACTCGACACGGAGTTTAAGAAAGAAAGAAAGACTTTTAAAACTTGTGATCCAAAATGAATGATAGAAATTTGTGTGGCTGTAAATCATTTCATTAAGGATAAAATAGATATTTTATAGTTAAATTGTTATTTAATATAGAAATGTGTCATTCTTTTTGGGACTGATTAAAAAGGAAAGTAAGTCACATAAATTGGGACAGAGAGAATAATTCTCTAGGAATTAAATGAACATGGGGATCCTCGATTCCTGTCCAGTGCAATAGTAATAATGAAATCTATAACCTCTATTGTTGCAATCAAATGTATATTATAAGCTCTATTGTTGCAACACCAAGTGCAATACGTGCAAAAACCAGTGTCTTTTTTTGCCAAAAAGCATACTTACCGATTCAGCTTGTGTTATCCCTTATAAAGTTTTTTACTTTACTTTTGTTAGGACCGAAATAATTAAGTGTCATGCGTCACCATGAGTAAGAAGATAAACTAGAAATATACCAAAAGACACAAATATTTAACATGGTTCGATCAATCGACCTATGTCCAAAGAAGAGATAAGCAATCCACTATATAAATATGAGAGTACAAAATTTAAAGAGAAATAACCTCACCCATTCACTCGTAAAATAAAGAGTTTCACACAAGTGATAACGTATCACTTATGTCCCACAAATTCTCTCCCTAGACAATACTTTCAAAGGCTTTAGGACTACATTGTGAATGCTACTGTGTTAGAAGGAATGTGCCTGTATTTATAGAGTCATAAACTTTTTCCTACAAGAAAAGGACTAGCCAAATATGAAGACTTTGTGTTTTCCTTTTAAGAAAAGGAAAACCCATTTATGATAAGAAATTCAGGGCAATATATATCCGACAACTCTCTTATTCCGTTACAAAATTTAATTTAGAATTCTTTTTTTCTTGACAATGAATGAATACAAAAATTTTAGACGTAAATTAAAGCTTCAAAATTCCGTTATCAAATTCCTTTGTCTAATTCTATGTAATTATAATTATAGGTGAGACATTTATCTAGACAAGTGGAAAAAATTGATAAAGGACAAAAAGTCATTTTTTTCAAGCTTCAAATATTGTGGCCTGTGAATTTTCCTGTGTCACTTTCATGAAAATCACCATACAAAAAAGAAAAAAAAAAGTTTAGAATTTTAAAGTAAATGATCATACTATGAAATTAGGATCAAACTACTTCCCAAAATATCAGAAGTGTGTAGTTGATGTTTATATCCTTTTCTTCCTTTAAATTACAATTTTTTTTCTATTTGTCTATTTCTTAAATAAGTATTTTCATCATGATTTAAATTATTATCATAGCCATTGATCCAAAGTTCCACCTTCTTTTACTGTTACTTATAGTATTTTTATGTGAAATTTATTTCAAAATAATTATAGATAAAAATTTATTTCTTTCGTTATCTAAATCAAGCGAGGGAGTACTATAAATGAAAGAAATTGTGGAAAATCTTAATACAAGATATAGAAGACATTTCCAAAAAACACATAATGTTGTTTCCACTAGTTGTAGCCCTTGTTATCATCATTATTCTCAGTTTCCTTCTTCCTAAAGCCAAAAGGAGTGGAAAAAACATTCTACCACCAGGTCCTTTAGGGTTGCCATTCATTGGAAATTTGCATCAATATGATAGTTTAACTCCTCATCTCTACTTTTGGAAACTTTCCAAAAAATATGGGAAAATCTTCTCATTGAAACTTGGTTATTCTACTATGATTATAGTTTCTTCAGCAAATCTAGCAAAAGAAGTAATGAAGACACAAGATTTAGCTTTTTGTAGTCGGCCTTCCCTTCTTGGTCAACAAAAGTTGTCTTACAATGGTCAAGATATCGCTATGTCGCCTTACAATGACTATTGGAGAGAACTTCGAAAAATATGTGTTGTTCATTTATTTAGTCTCAAGAAAGTGCAATATTTTAGTCCAATTTGTGAAGATGAAGTATCAAGAATGATCAAGAAAATCTCCTAGCAAGCCGCCACTTCACAAATTACAAATTTGAGCAATATAGTGATTTCACTTGCAACTACAATTATATAGAATTGCTTTTGGTGTTAGGTATGATGAAGAAACACGCGAAGTGAGGAGATTTAATGAACTTTTAAAAGTGACGGAGGAAATGTTGGCAGGATTTTTTGTCTCTGACTATTTTCCCCTCTTAGGATGGATTGATAAACTCTCAGGAAAAATAAATAAACTTGAGAAGAATTTTAAGGATTTGGATGAGTTTTATGAAGGACTCATTGAGCAACATCTCAATCCCAATAGGCCAAAATCAATGGAAGGTATGTTAAAAATTGTATATAAGCAAGTCTTGTGTATGTATTTATATTAATTGACTAGGTATTAGTACTCTGTCATACAACTAAGTGTTTTTATTCCATGGTCATATTGGTGGTGCAATCATGATATATAGAAAGTTTTTGGTCAAATATTAAGAAATGCCTTTTAAACTTGTAATATTACACATAACCTTTCATGATTAGGAAAACACTTCAGTTGATATATGAAATGTTTCTTATAGTTTTATCCTCCATTCTCACTTGTAGAATATGCTAGTTGGTGGAACGGACACTAGTGCAGCTACAGTAGTTTGGGCAATGACAGCCTTGATAGCCAAACCGAATGCCATGAAGAAAGTTCAAGCAGAAATTAGAGAATCGGTTGGGAAAAAGTTTATAGTGAATGAAGATGATATCCAAGATCTTCCATATTTTAAAGCAGTGATAAAGGAGACATTTAGATTGTATCCACCAGGTCCATTGTTAGTACCAAGAGAGACGATGCAAAATTCCATACTAGAAGGATATGAAATTCAACCAAAAACGATAGTTCATGTTAATTTTTTGGCTATTGCAAGGGATCCTGAAATATGGGAAAATCCAGAAGAATTTATACCGGAAAGGTTCCTGAATAGTGATATTGATTTTAAGGGCCAAAATTTTGAGTTAATTCCATTTGGAGCAGGAAGAAGAGGGTGCCCGGCTATGGCACTTGGTGTGACAACTGTGGAACTTTGTACTTTCCAATCTTCTTTACGCTTTTGATTGGGAGTTGCCTCCTGGAATGAACATAGAAGACATTGATACTGATGTTTTGCTTGGACTTGCTGTGCATAAGAAAGAACCTTTGTGCCTTGTTCCTAGAAATTATCACTAGAAATTAAACAATACCGAACTCCAACATTTAAATTAATTAATAATGTATGCTTTTGTTTGTCATCCGTTTTAATATAAGGTCGTATGGTTTTATGTCTGCCCTTTTTGTTTCCTAAAAAAAAAGTAAATCCATCTTGGAGTAATGGGGAATTTGACATCAATCCTTACCTTGTAAATTAGCAAAGCAAAGTAGAGCACAAGAAGGAGCTTGTAATATAAACTTGTAATGTAGTAGTTGTAATGTAGAAGGAGCTTGTAATATAAACTTGTAATGTAGTAGTTGTAATGTAGAAGGAGCTTGTAATATAAACTTGTAATGTAGTAGTTGTAATGTAGAAGGAGCTTGTAATATAAACTTGTAATGTAGTAGTTGTAATGTAGAAGGAGCTTGTAATATAAACTTGTAATGTAGTAGTTGTAATGTAGAAGGAGCTTGTAATATAAACTTGTAATGTAGTAGTTGTAATGTAGAAGGAGCTTGTAATATAAACTTGTAATGTAGTAGTTGTAATGTAGAAGGAGCTTGTAATATAAACTTGTAATGTAGTAGTTGTAATGTAGAAGGAGCTTGTAATATAAACTTGTAATGTAGTAGTTGTAATGTAGAAGGAGCTTGTAATATAAACTTGTAATGTAGTAGTTGTAATGTAGAAGGAGCTTGTAATATAAACTTGTAATGTAGTAGTTGTAATGTAGAAGGAGCTTGTAATATAAACTTGTAATGTAGTAGTTGTAATGTAGAAGGAGCTTGTAATATAAACTTGTAATGTAGTAGTTGTAATGTAGAAGGAGCTTGTAATATAAACTTGTAATGTAGTAGTTGTAATGTAGAAGGAGCTTGTAATATAAACTTGTAATGTAGTAGTTGTAATGTAGAAGGAGCTTGTAATATAAACTTGTAATGTAGTAGTTGTAATGTAGAAGGAGCTTGTAATATAAACTTGTAATGTAGTAGTTGTTTCAATAAAATTTTCCTTATCGTTGACTTTAGACTCAAAGTTATCCCTTTTATAAGGAGCACTAATTATGCACTTAGAAGGTAGAGAGTGTTGTTTAATATGGCGTAATTATAATTAAAAAGAACAGCTAGAATTCTTCCAATATATAATAATATCTTTGTTTTGGTCCAAAAATAATACAATACAATACATTATATGAATATCCTTATTAGCAATAATAAAAGAAGAAGAAGAAGTTTCCTTGATTTATTTTTGTCGTGAAACTATAATAAGTAGATTTTTAGTTTGTACCCTTTTGAGTGCTTATTAAACATAAATAGGCCAAACTACTCATCAATAGCAAATATTGTTCAGAACATAATTTAAAAAAAATAAAATATAAGCTTTATTATATTCATCTCAAAAAAGGCAATTACATTTATAAGAATTGGAAAGGGGGAAACACTCTTCTTAATATTTCATATTTTTATTCTACATTCTATTCCGCATATCACTATAATAGTCTACATATAACTTTTAGGGACAAGGCAAAGATCATTTTTCTTATGCATAGTAATTCCGCGCAAACTCTCTGTGTCGATATCCTCTATGTTCATCCCAAAAGGCAACTCCCAATCAAATGCATATAGAAGGTTTGATAGTATAAGATCCACTGTTGCAACACCAAGGGCTTGACCTGTAGAGAAACAAATTCAAAATTTTGAGTTTTTTTTTTTTTTTTGAAAATATATGGTTCAAAATTAATATGATCATAACTATATTTCAACTAGTACTTTTCATATTTTTCATGTATAGTTTACGTGAAAATTCTATATAAAAATTGTGGGTTCAATTGAACTTATAATTATATGAATTATGTATATATTCGACATTGAATACCTGGGCAACCTCTCCGCCCTGCTCCAAATGGGATAAATTCAAAATCTTGACCCTTGAAATCAATGTTACTATTCAAGAATCTCTCGGGTATAAATTCTTCTGAATTTTCCCAGTACTCAGAATCTCTTGCAATAGCCCAATAGTTTACACGAATTGTTGTTTTTGGTGGAATATTATACCCTTCTAGTATTGAATTTTGCATTGTCTCTCTTGCCACTAGGATTGGAGCTGGTGGATACAATCTAAATGTCTCTTTTATTACTGCTTTGAGATAAGGCATATTTTGAGTATCATCTTCATTTACAATGCCTTTTTTCTCCACTGATTTTCTAACTTCTTCTTGAACTTTCTTCATGGCTTTGGGGTTCTTCATCAAGGCAGTCATGGCCCAAATTACTGTAATTGCGCTAGTGTCTGTCCCAGCAAGAAATAAATTCTACAAAAACATTCAAGTCAATAGAAAAATAGCAGAGATGAGAGACATGTGTCTTATTTAAAATTCTGCATACATTTAAGCATAACTAATTACCATGAGGATTGCCTTTATGTTATCCAAAGTGAGATTGATTTGAGTTGATTGCTCTTTCCTCAATTGTAGCAAAAGATCAATAATATCTCCTTCCATGGATTTTGGCCTATTGGGATTGTGATGTTGCTCAATGAGTTCTTCATAAAATTCATCCAAACACTTGAAATTCTTCTCAAGTTTATTTTTCAATCCAGTAAGTTTATCGATCCAACTTAAAGAAGGAAAAAAATCGGAGACAAAGAAGCTAGCCAGAATATCTTGTGACTCATTTATAAGTTCATCAAATCTCCTCTTCTCATGTGCTTCTTCATCAAACCTAATACCAAAAGCAACTCTACAAATAATTGTAGTTGTAAGTGAAATCAC